GAAAAGCAGTGAATAACATTTGTGATTTTCAGCAGGTTGGTCTGAGAAAGCTTTGTTGATGTGATGTTGGAATGAAGACATGGAAAAGTGAGCTTAAGAGTCAGGTGGGGTGTCTGGGGAGAGTGTGTTTGGATGCAAAAGTACAAAGACCCTGAGGCCAGAGCATGTATCTCCATATATTTGTTTACTACTTCTAGTTTCTCTTTTTGTGTCACTTGCCTTTTTACATTTGCCCTTTTCTATTGTTACTTGTACGTTTTTCTCGTAAAATTGTATGAACTATTTATATAACTTTAAAAAATTATTGGTCTGGTTTGCCATAAATTTTTTTGTATCATCTAATTTTAATTTTTTTCTTTTGAGTGAAAGCAGATTTGTTCAGAGAGATACATTCTCTATAGGCAGAGTGCAGGCCATCTCAGAAGGCCAGAGAGGCCACGAGGCATGGGAGTGGGTGTTTAAAGTAGATACATACTCTATAGACAGAGTGCAGTCCGTCTCACTCAGAAGGGAGAGAGCAGCCTTAAATTTTTTAAAGAACCTGTTTTTAATCCGCTCACTTTTTTTCTTTGGGCTTCTTTTATTACTTTGACTTTAGAGAAGTGATCTTCTCTAGAAGTAGTGAAGTAAAAGAATTCAGTTCTATTCCCTTACAATTTCTATTTAAAATTGATTTTTTCCCTTGATGTTTAATTACTGACCTATCCAAAATTTATTTGGTTTATGGTATGAAGTGATGACCTAAATTGTTTTCCCCCCACCCAATTGCCAATTAATTGTCCCAACACCATTTATTAACTAATTTGTGATGTGTTCTTTATTATGTGTTAATTCTTACACATTATGGAAACTATTTCTGGGTGATCTCTTTTTTTCCTGATGATTTATTCTTGTATGATGATCAGTATTTTTAAAAACAATTTAAATTATTTGTTTCACTATCTGGTATGGGTCCCCACATTATTCTTTTCAGAATTTCTTTTGTGTTCTCTCCTATTTTTTTCTTCCAAGAGGATTTTGAAATTTTAAATTATTTTACCAGACACAAGAAATGGATATTGAAGTTTTGATAGAAATTATAAAATAAATTATATAAATTAAATGTAAACAATTAACATCTTAATGCTTTGTAACCTTCCCATTTGTGTGTATGGGTTCACTCTCTAGTTATTCAGTTTTTCTTTTACAACATTCTGTAGTTTCATGAACTTCCTCCTTAATTGTGTGATACTGTGTGTTATTGCTGTCAGATTCTAAAGACTTGTTCCTTCTGAGTTAGGAAAAGGCTCCGGGGTGGCTAGGGAATTTCACTACAGAGGTAGAGCCACAATAGTCTGCCAGCGGGGGGGACTTTGGCCAGTGACTTTAAACTAGGAATTCTCAAAGTGTGGTCCCAGACCGGCAACATGAGCAACACTTAGGAAACATTACAAATGTAAACTCTGCGGCCCCGTGGAGCCCTACTGAGTAGGACACTCTGGGGTGGGGCCCAGCCGTGTTTCACAAGCCCTCCAGATGATACTGCCCGATACTAAAGTTTGAGAAATACTGCTTTAGTGAGGTGCCAAGACGGCGGAGTAGACTGCCAGCTTGCCCTCTCCCACAAATAGACCAAGAATTACATCTAAAAACCCACTGGAGTGCGCAGAACACCTACTGAACTCTGTCAGAGTGTCTCTTGCTTTGAAATTCAAGAGGATTCTCACAAAATCTGGTAAGAGGGGGGGAAAAAAAGAGAGAGAGACAGAGAAGGAAATACTGCTTTAAACCAATGGTTCTTAACCTTGGCTGCACATTAGAGCCACCTAAGGAGCTTCCCCAAAACATGATGACTAAGCTATTTCTCCCTCCCCGCCCCAGCTCTGACTGAGCTGGCCTGGCGTGGGACCAGGGTGCTTCTAACCTCCTGCAGGTGATTCTATTGCACAGCCAGGGCTGAGACCCATGGCTCTAATCATCAGTTCACATGGAAAATGGAAAAAGTAATACTTCTCCATAGGACTGTTGTAGGAATTAAATGATACAACTTAGAGTTAGGTATACTGCTCAGCAAGTGGTAAAAAACTGGACAAAGATAGTTACTCTTGCGCTACTCCTCAGACTTAGCAGATCGGTGCTACACTGTTACATCAAAAGAAGACACTGAGAAATTGAGGGCTTGTATTGGTTTGTTCAGGTTACAACTCAGGCTGACAGTCCTCGCTAACCAGAGATTTTATTGCTGTTTGTGGGTCTTTGCATGTGCCATTTGCTGTAACCTTTTCTCTCTGCTTGTGTTAGCCTACCTTTAACAGTGTGGTGATTGGTGGTGCAGGGTTTGGCGTCACGCAGTTTGGATTTAAACCTCAGTGTAAGTACGTTTAGAGCTGTGTGATCTTTGGCACAAGACCTAAGCCTGTTTCTTCATCTGTAAAACATGGATACTTATAATAGGGGTTAAATAAGGCAAGGCCTACAAAGCACAATGTGTGGCATCTGGTAAGTGCGCGGAAAATGTTAACATTACTTGCAGTCGTTGTTTTCAGTGCTTGTGAAGTTCCTGGTGATTCAAACCACATTGATCTCTCCTATCTCTAATTTTAGAATTTGTTTCGAGCTCAGTGCACTTGCCTGTTCTCGTATTGGTACCCTCAGATTGGAGCTCTTTTTAAGATAGAACCTTGTCCTCTTCAATTTCTGTTCAGAGTGTTGTTTTAATTCTAAACTCAGTGGGTCAGCTAGTAGTTTTGAGGCTCTTTTGAGAGGATTCTGCACTGAGCACCAATTTAGACTGTCAATAAGGAGCTCATGTTTTTTGCAATAGACACATAAAGTTCACGACAAATGAATCTATCCTCTGTCTCAGAAAACACATTTCTTTGAATATAATTAAGACAGTCTTAAAAGCTACATTGGTTTAAGTCTAGGTTCTACTTAGAATGAACTTATAATTCTGCCAGATCGTCAGCGAGGTTAAAAAATTGCATATGGGTAGTTTCTTTGGCCAGTCCTCCAACTAGTTTCATGACCTTTTCTATGCTGCTTCTATGTCATTAAAAAAAAAAAAGTTTTAAGTTCAGCATAAATGTTTTTACTGGTTTTCCAGTTATCTCAATATCTAGGGTTTTACTGTTTGTTTCCCCGATTTATCTAAATCTTCTTGAATGTATTGCTGTTTGTTTTGCTGATTTTATCTCAACTTGAAAAAATGCTTTCTTGAGTACTTAAGTAAAAGGGCCATGAAGACAGGATTGGCAGGTTGAAAGACCTTTCCCTCTGTCTATTGCTCTTGAAGTTTGCTCCTGTCTCTTAACTCTCTAAACTTTGAGACATAAAAGCTTTGGGAGAAATGTGTGAGGAAACAGGAAAAAGGTGATGAGAGTGGAATTTTAAATTTTAATTTATTCTTTTGTGGAAGTTGCTTTATAAAGAAAAGCATTATTATATGTGTGTGCTTTAAAAAAAAATGAGTTTCTGGAACCCATGATCACACAAATAAGATGCATTTCACATCTGCTGCTTCTGAACCTATCATGCTGCATGTAAGTGTAGAGAACTTTCTATTTTTAGCAGGTGTTTGTCAACACTACCTTGGAAAAATCTGCTAGTAAGATGCAGCAATTCTTACTAGCCATGCAAATAACTATGTAAAAATATTTGATTAACCTTTCAGTTAACATCATTCTTTTCACAAATATGTTAATACCTCATTAATCCAGTGAAGTATTATCGTGATTTTACAGAGGCAGAAAGGGGTTCAGAGACAGTAAGTGACTGAAGGTCTCACAGGCAGTAAGTAGAACTACGTCACAAACCCATGACCTTTGAATCCAAAACCCAGTGTCTTTTTTACTATTGGCTACTAAAATTAAGGGTAAAATCCTTCATGCACACAACACACTAAACATTTGAGGGAAAACAAATAGTTTTGGTCCTGACCGGAGAAATCTAAGTAAACAATCCGGCTAGCCTAAACCTATGGTTCAAACACTTTTTTTTTTTTTCCCAATTGCACTTAGTTCTTGTCTTAACCTTTGGTCACTGGTGTCCTGAAGTATGTTGGTTCCACGGCACCAAGAACACTCTTTTATCCTCTACTTTCTATTTGGTTCACTGTTCAGCACAGGCTGTTTTGAGTCACACGGCATTTACTGTTACCATTTGGTTTTAGGATACAGCTGATGTACAAATGAATTTTAGCTTGCCTTTCTGGTTTTCAGCATGGAGCAGTGCCACTCTAATCTGCTGCTAAGTTGTCTTCAGCTTCCCTATTTCCCTAGCAAACAGTGCTAAGGCTCCTTGAGGGCTCAGGGACCATCAGCAAAACAACATATGGATTCTTGGCTTATTTTCTGACTCAGGTTAGCTGTTGGTATCTAATGCAGTTACTCTCTTGAAAGTAACAAGCTAATGCTCCTTTAAGTTCCTCTTACAGTCATTCTTCAAAAGGTGGAGATGGCATTAATTCAGAACATCCACTTAGCTACAGTGGGTTCAGGCTCCAAGCCTGTTTCTCAGCCCAATATCCTGGGCTTATCCACCCACCTGCTCAGCTGCATTGGCCAAGAGTAACAGGGCACCTGCGCTTTCCAGAGCAAATCCCTGAGAGCTTACCAATACTTTACAACACACACACGCTCATTCATACACTCTTAGGGACTGAGGCTATTGGGCTGTGTCCTCTGCAATGAGCATGTGTCAGGTGCTCAGGAAAAGAGTTCTAAATGAATGCATTCTCAGCCTTCTGCTGGGATTCACATCTATCAAGATACAAATTATCTACTTTTCGGTAGTCTGTATTTTTATCAACTATAAATATAGGCTCTAGCCATACCATCTGAATTACGTATCTAAAAATGTCATTTATCTGAACATGTAGCAGGATTCCTACTAGTTCAGGGGTTATTCAGAGGGCAGTTATTGCCAATTCTTCCAGCGTTTTAGGGAAAGACAGTTATAGCTGGAGTAGCTGCCGTATGTGCTCCCGCCTGTGTGCTTGGCTCTTTCCTAAGAGGCAGAAACAGAGGTTAAAGGTCCTTTATTTAGCATAACAGTGTGCATATAGTTAGCACTTCTGTACCATACACTTAAAAATAGTTAAGATGGTAATAACTTTCATGTTTTTTGCCGCAATAAAAAGAAACTTTACAAAACTTCCCAGATAGTGTTAGAAATCTTCAGATTTCTTAGGGGGAAAAAATCAGCAAAGCCCTCACAACCTCATTGGAAACTCACTGCTAGAATACGGTGAGCATCTAGCTACTCGAAGGCATACAAGTCATCTCCCACAGAAATAACATCTTAACCAGCCTGACCAGAGAGCAGAGTGTGTAAGTCCCAGCTTCTCCACAGAACCTGCAAAACCCTGTGTCTGGCCTTTGTTTCATTACGACCAATGCATACTAGTTAGTGGTCTTTTTTTCAATTTCTTGAACAGGACAATTTCTTCTTGCCTTAGGCTTTACACATGATGTTCCCTGTGCCTCAAATGCTTTCCCACCATTTTTCTTCCACCTAACTCTAATTTATTCTTCAGAGCTCAGCTTAAGTATTATCTCTTTAGGGAGGCCTTCTTTAAACTCCCTACTGAGGTTTGGGCCTCTTGCTATCCCTCTGGATCAATCCATCGATTCATCCACATTCTCAAAGAAGTCTGGATTTTTCCTTTGTAGCATGTAATACGATTGTATTTACGTAATTATGAAGATCAGTCCCTGCCACAGGACTGAAAGTTCCATGAGACAGGGATTGTTTCTTGAAAACCACTGTATTACCTTGTATACAGCAGGTATGTAATATTCTCTTACCAGTACAGCCTTTTATCCCACAAATCTATCTTACAGATATTCTCAAAGGAGTAGGCGGAGAGGCACATAAAGTTTGTGAGCTTGGTGGTGGAGACAGTGGCTGAACAGCTAGAGAGATGAAAGAGTTTACAGCCAGTTAAGTGGGGAAGCAAGACGGGAGTAACGAGGATGCTCATTTTATGAGTTTTCCCCTGCACTCCCCAAACATCCCATCCCCTCCCAAACAAGTCATTCAACAATAATCATGTGTTCATTTCTTGGGGGAAAAAGGTAAACCTCAGCTAATAAAACCAGGGCCAAAATAATTCTGCAGAAGTAGAAGGTGTTCAAGAAACCAGTCACAATTGAACTGGATTAGATTTCAACATAGAGATGACTGTGTTCCTCCAAATAGTCTTCAACTCAGAAAGATGACACTCCTCCAGTATGTGGAGAGAGAACAAACACTTCCTCCTGCTCTCAGTCTCTGAGGAAGAAGTCTCCTCTCCTGATGGACTAACACTATTTCTTTTTTGCAGCTCTCTTCCCTTCTCCTTTCCTTGGTTTCCCCTTTCCACGAAGCTTCTTTAGACGCAGCTGCTCATCCTTAAAGTCCTGATGCTCATCTCTGAAAGGACAAAGAACAAAGAACTAGCCAGTATTTTTACCAGACTGGAAAAGCACACCACCCGCCCAGCCCTGTTCCCGTAGGTGGTTCTGGTTATCAAGCTTTGAATTCTAAAGGGCACATGCTCAGCGTGGTGAACAGAAAGGACAGGGAGCCCCCAGTGGACAGATGGGCTGTTCCAAAAGTTCATTTCTAATCACAGTTTCCCCTCACAGAAACAATGCTACAGACAGCCGTTAATTACCAAGCCCGCCCATGTAAACGTATGTAACTATGATACAGCCCTCATCATTGCCCCAGATTTCCCTATAACACTAAGACTAAACACTGAAAGGGGCAGAAAGTGGTTATAAGCCTCAATAACTACACAAGACTCTGAGAGGCCCAGGGATTAGCATCTACTGCAAAGGGGAGAGGTCTGGAGAAGGCTGCCTTAACGGCAGTGAATCATTCACACAAAAAGGCTAGGAAAAGACTCAGGCAGAAGGAAGCTGGATCAACAAACAGGTACTCAAGGGATCAAGGCAGCCAGGGCTGTTGGTTTATGGGATGGGGTGTAAGTAAGAATGTCTGTACTATGTAAAAATGTCTGCATACTAAGATCAAATATAGTGATCTCTTGGTATCCTTGGAGGATTGGTTCTAGGACCCCCAACAGATACCAAATCCACAGATGCTCAAGTCTCTTATATAAAATGACATAGTATTTGCATATAATCTGCACACATCCTCTCATATACTTTAAATCATTTCTAGATTACTTATAATACCTTATACAATGTAAATACTATGTAAACAGTTGTAAGGTGCATGGCAAATTCAAGTTTTGCTTTTTGGAACTTTCTGGAATTTTTTTCAAATATTCTCGATCCATGGTTGGTTGAATCTGTACATGTGCAACCCAGGGATATAGAGGGCTGAGTATACCTAAGACAGTATAGTGTTTAAATGTGTCAGCTCTGGAACTCATTCTGGGTTCTATCATAGCTCCACCATTTAGTGGCTGTGTGACCGTGGATAAGGGACCTTCCTCTCCACACCTTAGTCACCTCATCTGTAAAAGTGTGGCCTCATCTGTAAAAGTGTGGATAATGGCACACTAATTAAATGTAAGAGAGGGATTTGCTGGGCCCAGTTTTTAACTCCCTGGGCTGTATTAAAATAGATTGGTTTTTAGGGTGTGCTGTTTTATTCCACGAACATGACAGATACAACAGACTTCCCTGGGATTAGCTATGATTGCCTCCAAATACGCTATTTTCAGAAAAGTAGCCAGAGTAATTCTTCTGAAATGTAAGCCAGATCACGTCACTCCCCTGTTCACAATCCCGCAAACTGTTTCCCATTTTATTCAGTGCCCTTCCCAATCTGCCTCCTGCCTCAGCCTGTGCCACTCCTGGAATATACGAGGTGCCTTCCCGCCCCAAGGCCTTTTCTTTGCTCCTGTCTATGTTCCGAAAGCTCTTCCCCGGGTCCCACTTGGCTCACTCAGTACCCTCAAGTCTCTGCTTGAACCTCATCTTCTCAATGAGGCTGACTCTGACTGTCCTGTTTCACCCCGTGACCGTCCTCTCCCCTCCCACTGAGAGCCCGGTCAGCACTCTCGGTCCTGCTCAGCCGGCTCTATTTTTCCCCCACAGCACATTTAGCTTGGTAATACACTGCATGATTTACTTCTTTAGTATGTTTTCCCCCCTCTTCTTCCCTCCCAGCCCCTTCCTGACAACCCCCAGCCAGGAAGCAAGCTCCAAAGGCAGGGGTCTTTGTTGATGAACCAGCCCAAGCACCTGCCTGCCTAACTGAGTCACTGTTCTTGAGAACCTGCTTCCCTCCCCGTTTTGTAGGTCTTTGAATAGTATTTTCTTTACTGAACATTGTCTAGTTTCATTATGCCCAATTCCACAGGAGGTCTTGTGTTAGAGGCACCATTTACCATAATGAGTACTAAATACATGAAAATAACTGTGGTTTTCCATAGATAACTAAATGCTAAGTATTTTTTCTCTGTCCTCAAAGATAGTGAAGGCTTTATTTTCCAAACAAATGGAGAGCAGCAGCAAACAAGTAAATTAAAATAACTGAATGTAATTTTGTTATGGGCTGTAATTTTCTACTCAGGACACCTGCCTTCCAATGATGTCTTATTTGGGGTAAGAATAAAATTAATTTTTATTTTCTGAGCCGAGACTAATGGCAAGGGAGATAATCCCAAAAGCAATTCCAGAAATTCAAAATATGTCATGGATTATAACCTCTGATAACATATTAACTAAGAAAACCTATTCTACTTTGTTCAATGCTATCCCCTTTTGCTCACCTTAAATGCCTATACATGAAAAGTACTTAAAAAAGTCTGTTGTATAAATGAATGTACCAATCTTTAGTTATCTGGAAATGAACTATTAATTTTATTATAGTAGAGCAAACAGTATCAAATTAATTTTTGTATTGCTGGCCTAAGACAAGTCCAATTAAAACATGTTAAACTTTTAAAAAGTAGGCATTTTTTTTCTCGAGTATGGTTTCTTTTTTTTCCATGTTTAGGCTTTTATTTTTATTATTATTATTTTTAACGGAGGAACTGGGGATTGAATCCAGGACCTCATGCATGCTAAGTATGTGCTCTACCACTGAGTTATCACCCTCCCCATGTATGTTAATTTTATACAATTATGTACTGTTTGAATTCTTTTATAATGAGCATGTATTCGTTTGGTAATTAACACATTTTTTAAAGAAAATGATCCCATGGGTATTTGATCTTTTTTCTTTCCAGAACGGTATACCATCCTAAGCACCCACTTCCCACAATACACAAACATACAGATGCATGGCAGAAAGAGCCTACTACTCTTACTATTACGTATCATAATCCTATTATATTATATCTATTACAGGTTACCTTTAAAGATGAACCTCAGCTAATTTAGACCAAATTACTGTACCAGAAAGAGCACCAACTCAAAATGCCAGAAGGTGAAAGAAGATAAGAAATCCAACAAGACTACCACCAGAAGAGAAAGGAGGCTCCCACTCACCAATCAGGAAGCAGATCAGCCGCAGGGCAGGGTCCCTTTTCCTCTGACCAACAAGAATCTACTCAGCATTTGAACCAGCTTTCCTCTGTATCCAGAGTGCTCGCACGTTAATGAGTAATTAAACATTTCCCTATAGCTCAGAATCTAGTCGCTGTTTGTCACATTTTAGACATAATTATGTTTTCTAATAAAATGCACATTTCCTTTTTTTTTTTTTGTATATTCATTACAGATATTTTGAAAGCTTCCCTCCGCAAAACTGAACCTTTTGAATTACCTGGGCACTCTAACAAGAACCACAAAACTGTAAAGATAGAAAGGCTTATTTTTTTCCTTTTGTGATATACTAAACAAATCTCCCACAGGTCACCCTTTGTGCTTTTTGCCATTACCTGTAGAGGCCAAGAAAACGTAGTGTCCCCATAAGCGCGAAGTAAGTGTTGTGATTTGGATACCAGTCATAAGTCTCCTTCTTCTTGGCCAAAGGCAGCTCACTAAACAGCTTTACCACTTTCATGGATTTGGAATCAGTAGGCCTGGCAACTTCACCAAACAGCCGGGCACTCAGACGAGTCATGCGCAAGGCATATTCTGAAAGTGAAGACATTTCTTGAGCCGCAAGGAGCAAGAGTCCCTCTAGAAGATGAGCAGAAAGATAAACAGGTGAGTGTCAGAAATTTCCAGGTAAATGGACACTTCAGAGAATGAAAACACAGCAAGCCACATGTGAATCAGTTCACGTCATCGGCAGGACATGCCCCGGGGGTGAGAAACATCCAGTCCAAGTGGCTATTTTCTTTGCATGCTTTACATTTGCAGTTTTTACATGTGGTGTTCACATAACATTACTCCCTCGCTGTACTGCCCTTTTTCCAATGAAGGAATTTCTGATTCAATAGGTTATTCGCTGATAGTCAGCTTACCTATTTGTAGGCTAGATGAGGACAGGGAAACAGTCCTACCACAGCATTGTTATTACACCATCAGAAAACACCTACCTCAGCAATCTGCAGAATAAATATGCTGACTGCTTACTACCTAAAGGTTTAATCATGGTAGAGAAATAATTATGCTGTTGTCTTTATTATCAGCCCTTTGAACACTGCACTCCTCAAGGGCTCCAGATGGCTCTCAGAACTGCTAATGAGTGATGAGGTCATGTAGCCTCTAGGTTGCTGGACTGAATTCTGCCTAGAGACTGAGAGCCAGTTGGGAAAAACAAACAAGAGAGAGCAGTCTTATAGAAATAAACTCAACAGCTCAAAAGATTCATTTCATGCATGAATAAAAAGGCACTTACGAATTGTGATATTACTTGTCTTCTCTTCCATCTTATATATTCTGCTTTAAGAAAATAAGCTTAATTCTTTTTAGCTGAAAATAGTCACTTTTTCTTCAGAAGCACAGAATGTTGAAATAGTATAAAAATGATATCTGAACATGCAGAAGTTACAGCTAATAAATGTCAAAAATTATATAGGTGATACATAAAAATCAAGAATATTCACAGGGAATACAGCCAATAATTTACAGTAACTATACATGGAGTATAATCTTTAAAAATTGTGAGTCACTATATTGTACACCTGTAACTTACATAGTATTGTACATCAATTATATTTCAATTAAAAAAAAAGTGGTTGAGATTTCGTTATCTGGGGAAAAAAAAAAAAGAGTGTTGCTGGTGAAATAACTCTCATTCTGTTCTGGTTCAAATGTAAGGGTAATTGTTGGCAAGATATGCTAATTTATGTGAAAGTTTTGTAGTGAGATGAGAATTTTTGCTGGGTATCATGGGGGGACAGTTCACCTGAGATGAAAAGGAGTTGATTTCTAAATAGAAAAAAGGCATAAACCTATCTTGAAAAACCAATGGGAGAAATTCCTTAACAGGAATACCAAGTAAATTTCAAAATAGCTCTTGCAAGGAAAAAAACCCCCAGTATTTAAATGAAGAATTTTTTTTTTATGTCCATTCCAAGGTCTGTTGAAAGAGCAGAGGATGACCTCAAACCAACTTCAGAATGTCAGTCTCAAACCATTTACCATTGTGAACACCAACCAAGCAATCTTGGGCCAACAGTGCCACCTGAAGGCCAGCAATGGGAGAACCATCAGATCCAAGGTCTCTCTGTCTCTCCCCTCCAACCCTGGATCTGTGTGAACCTTGCTCATTCCTCTCTTTTCCTTTCAGCACACTCTCAGTTCCAGGATTCACTTTTCTCCCAACTCTGCTTCATCATGTAGATGGGATGGATTGGGGTGTTAGGGGTAGGGTTATAATTTCATCAATAAGAAAAAAAGTCATTAACAGTTTAACATATAAATAGAAAATAGTAACAAATCAGTGCTATAAACCTCTAAAGGCCTTGCAGATTTCCAGAAGGTGCCTTCAGAAGCTACAAAAAGTTTCTTTGCATGCATTCTTTTCTCTCCTTTCAACCATTAAGGTTATCTTTTTTCCAAACATCAGATAAAAAAAACTTAGAGACAAACGGTTTCTTAAGTGACTTTTCTTTGTTTTGCTTACTTACTATTATGGTCTCAGAACCGATTTCTGCTGTAATTGCACAGTATTTCCATAATCAGTTATTTGTAAGATAGTCTAGGAACTATCATTTTGTTACAATATTTTCAGGAAAATATGTTGTGAATTCAAAATCATTTTATCTTTAAATGAAGAGGCAGCATGAAATTCTGAAGCCTGGGTTTGCATTCTGGCTCTGCTGCTTATTAGCTGGGTTATTTTGAACAATTACCTATTTTCTCTAAATCTGGGTTTCCTTTTCAGGAAACAAAATTTGTTAGAAATTAGACAGTGGCACTGAGTAAATGGTAAACAACAACAAAAAACAAACAAACAAAGAAAAAAGAAAAAACCTAAACACGCTTGGTGCTCCTATGTTCTATATAGACACATCTGTTTATTCCTTGTCCTCATTTAATCATGCACAAAAACAGATACATACTCCGTGAAGTTGAACCTGCACCTCCCTAGAATGATACCCTCTTACTAACACTGACAGCCAGAGAAACATAAGGGAGGGAATCAGCAGCTTGGTAACCTGACAGCATTAAGGAGAAGGGACTCATTAGGACAGTGGTCACTGAAGCCATCAGGATAATGAGTTATTTCCATGTCCACCTTGGAATGTGGCAAATTACTTGGACACATAAGCTCATAAATAATAAGGTCTCATTAAAATCCAGTGGAACATGGGCATATCACAAAATCCAAGTCCCAAAACTTTCATGATGGAGAAAGAGAATAAGTCTCTTCAAACCTGAATCCCTTACTAGAAACAAAGAAACATTTGCGAAATAGAAGCAAACTGAAAATGGTTATAACGTTACCAATTACTGCCTTGTAGTCTCCTACAGAGCACAGACATGTCTCTGATGAAGAATGGCATAGAAGCTTGGTATATTTTCTTTTACATAGACTAAAACAGCTAAAAAGTTCTGCTGCCTATAATTATTGCTCCTGAGATTGGCAAACTGCTACTTTTTACTAGCTTAAAAAATTTTTCTAATTGGAAATCTTTACCTAGGACTTTTCAGGATCCTGGTATGCCTCTTCACAGTATCTTTCAATTTTATGTTTAAAAAAAAATATATATATAATATATACATATTATCATATATATTATATATATATGATAACCATGTGAAAGACATTAAAGTAAAAGGCAAATAAATTAATTTTTATTCATATAAAGCCATTCTAAGGGGTACAGAATAGTCACTTAAAATGTCAGCTTTTTTTTAAATGTAACTAAAGAAAACAGTATCATGGAGAAAAATTAACTGGACTTGAAAATGCTAAGCAAAACCAAATTACTCAAATATGCTGGAGCAAAACATGTTAAGCTCACATGAGAAGATTCCCGTATTTTCACTTTAGCATAAAAGGGCAAGTTTCTTTGATCTTGCTGATAGGTCTGATGCATTTTAAAGGTCAGGTTTATTTCAATAACTGGCTTTGGATTAGGTTTGCCTTTTTCCTTTGAAAAGTGAAGGCAATGTGCAGTTCTTAATTTGGGTATCCCTCAGTGTGGTGAATCCCACAGAACTTTAAAAGTGTATGCTGGGGGCGGGGTGGGGAGGGTATAGATAAGTGGTAGAATGCCTGCTTAGCATGCACAAAGTCCTGGTTCAATCCCCAGTACCTTCATTAAAAATTAGTAAGTAAATAAACAAAACAAAACAACCCCCCCGCCCCCCGCCCAAACCCAGCAAAACAAAACAAAACAAAAAGTGTATGCTGGTATATGCGTGTGTAAATTCTGCTGGGGACAAAGTTTTTCTCAAAAACCACTGGTTAGTGGAGAGCATCAGCTTTGGAGTAGAAAAGTTGGTTGAAATCTTGCCTCTGTACTTTAATGGCCAATATCGCGTTTGTAGTAGTATGTATTCTTTGCCTTCGTTTTCTCATCTACCACAGGAGGACACTTACACTATCTTACGGCGTTGTGAGGCTGACATGCAAAACGGATGGCACAGTGCCTGCCCTATTAATCATCAGGCCTCCAGGGACGCACACACTGTTCACACGTGTTTTACATAAAAACAATTTGAACACAATGCTTTATTATTCTGAAAGCCCGGTACCGACTGATTTACTGGGTTGTAGAGACATGAACGGCTCTGAATATATGCCCAGCTTTATTACGTTCAGCAAGAACAGCCCCAACCCCCTCCAACTGCCTCGATGACGCCGGCCTGTGATGGAAGCAACAGTGTCAAGTCAACCGACGTCTGACTCGGTAGGGCATTTCGCTGATATTTTTCTTAGACTTCATTTTACTTAAACTGATAACAAAATTATCATCCCCCAACCCCCACCAAGCTACGGTGCAGAAGGCAGAGAACCTGAGCCTTCAGTGCTGCCTAATCAGGAAGAAAGTACGCTCGCGTCCTTCGTTTGATAAATTCCCCAAATTACGCAGGAAAAGGCCAAGTTGTGTGATACATGTGAAACCTCCGAGCTGGTTAACGAAACGACTCGTACTATTCTTGGCCACTCTACGAGGTTGGAGACCTCCGCCAGATCTCCATGGCCATCGCCCACATCTCACTAAGGACGCCCCTAAAAGTCACGAACAGCCTTACCTAGTCGTGACCTTCCTCTCTCCCGCGCTCCTTTCCCGGAAGTCCCGCCCCCCGGAGACGGTAGCGGAGAGCAGTAGAGAAACGGAAGTTAGGCGGCTAGAGGGGAGTCTTCGTGAGCGAGCCGGAGCTCCTGACGTCACACGGGGCGCCCACGCAGTGACGCCAACGTCTCCCGGTACGCGGCGGATGATAGAACGCTGACTCGGGAGCGTGGGGACTAGCTTTCTTGGAAGGTCCTGCAGGGTTCGCTGACTGTATTTTGTTGGAAGGGGCTACAGAGCTGACCTCTGGATCTCTGAAGCAATGGTTATGCGTGTGCCCTGTGGTGGAGAATGAAATGCATTTCGCTTTTCCTTTCCCTCCTTCCAGCTTAGGCTTTGATGTGCTCCAAGCTCATTGCTCGACTCTGGGGGCTGAAGAGCCTTCTGACCCACGAGGGGTGCCGTTTTCCTCCCTCCCACCGATCTACTCATCCTCTAATAGACTCATCTCCACGAGGCCGTTCTTGGTACCTCTTTGCTGGAGTAAGGGCCCTGTTTGGAGCATTCTGGCTTTCCCCCACTGGCCTGCAAGCTTCTTCATGGAGTAGGAATGGCTCCTCAGATAAATATTATTTAGTTATTTAGACCCAGACTGGCAGATAGTAGAAACATTGTAAGTATTTCGCTTCATACTAAATCTGCTCTCAAGCAAGCCGCGTCCCACAGGCACTGGAAGAAGCATTTGTTGGATGTTTGATAGTTCAACTGAGAACACTGATTTTCTGAGCATTATTCAAGGTCTTTCATAAATTCTCTAAAATGTACCCTGGTATTAGGGCAAATCAGCAGCAAACTATATACCTAGAGAGTATTCTATTGGCACCCTCTTCCCTCCTACAGAATTTTGTTTTATTAAGTTTTTTTTATTAAGTTTTGACATCTTATCAATATATGCTATAGAATTTGTTTCTATCAAGTTTTGGCATGTTAGAAACGGGTCTGGTTTAAGTTGAGGCAGGGTGTAATGAGTATACTATGCATAGCTCAGTCCAGAAAAATATCCTGGATAGGAATTTCACCTTGTCTTTTGTGTATCATAGAGTTAGCTTGTTT